GGTGAGACTCTCCCGCCCGCCCCATCGCTGAGGAGCAGCCGGCGCCGGGGAGGCCCCTCTGGGGCCTTTGTGGCACCGGCTGCTCCTCCGCGTCGGGGCGGGCGTCGCGTTGGGCCCTGTTGTGACCCGTCTGCATCACGCGTGGGGACATGGAGAGGACAAGGGAGAGAGGCCGCCACTATCGGAGCTATACCTGGGTCTGGGTGAGTCCCAGAGATGCTGCGAGCTCGGCTCTTTCGGGGAGAGCCAGGTACTGAGTTTGCTGGAACCTCCTGTTCAAAGCCTGTAGCTGCAAACTGGAATAAATAGTCCTGGGTTTGCGTATTTTTTTCCCTTTCCCATTAAAGCGAACTTCCCCTCCTTCTACCACAGTGCTTTTCTCGGATTCGGCCCCTACAAACAACAAGCGATGCAGAATAAATAATAATAATAATAATAATAATGGCAGCAATAGTAATAACAGCAGTAGCAGCAGCAGCAATAGTAACAATAACAGCAGCAACATCAACAATAACAATAATGAGAAGGAAGAAAAGTGAAGCTCGACTAACGCTAACAAAGGCTCCGGGCTATTATGGCAGCCCAGGCTTCTTCCCAGAGAAAGTTTGCTATTTTTACAGGCTGCAGTTTAGGTTTAATTACCCTTAATTGCATACATTGTTTATAGCGCTACGCAATAAATAATTACGAAGACTAATACGTGCACATCTGGGTTGATTTCTTTTCCAGCCAGGCATTGTGTGCTCTGTGTACTGCTCCCCTGTGATCCTCAGCCTCTCCTCACTCATATTTTGTAATTTAATTTCATTTCTCCCCCCCCCCCCCGATAGATTCTGTTGTGGTTTGTTTTTTAATATACGAGCACCTTCCCTCCCTCTTTGCCTTCCCTCCCCTTTCCCCCCCTCCCCAAAGCCGAGTGCACCTACCTGTCTCCTCTAACCGGGTCTGAGTCAGGCTGGAGCTGTTGGGGTAGGACTGCACTGAACTGATGTAGGGGTTGCTGGAGTGGCTGCTGACCGAGTTCACATAGGGGTAGCCCAGCGGTCGGGAGAAGGACGAAGCTGTGCTGTACGAGCTGTCAGGCTGAGAGTGGCCCGCGGAGTGTAAACAGTGCATGGAATAGTGTCCGTGGGACATGGGAGAAGGAGACATTTGCTGGCTGGGCGGCCCAAACTCCATAAAGACAGCCTTCCCTGAGACGGGGCTATTTAGACTCTCTGGCATGGTAGTCATGGTCATTTCTTGTCGCTTGGTCTGTGTGTGTGTTCTCTCTTCAGCTTGCCTTTTTGGGGTCTGTTGTGTTTCTCAGGACAGGAAAGAACCCAATTTAAGCGGAACAGGGTTTTTCACTTTCCATTCATAAGAAAATGGAGTTTGTCTCTTTGAAAAGTCTAAGCATGATGCTGTAGATCTACACAAACTCGCCTAAAAGCTTTGACTCAGCCAAGCCTATGAATATTCATGAGCTGGCGGAGCTGATTGGTCCGCCGTCTTGCATAATCGCTTTGGATTGGTCCAAGGCGCTCGGGGCTCGCCCGGACCCCGGTGAGCGCGGAGCGCCGGGCTGCCAGCGCCGCGCGTCCCCGTGCGCCGGCCGCATGCCCCGACGGCAACCGCCGGCTTGGCTCGGCTCGGCTCGGCTCGGCTCGGCGGCCTCCGCTACGCCGGCTCCCCGGCAACGCTCCGCGGCCGGAGCAGGGACCGGAGCCGCCTGGGCTCCCTGCTCCCATCGCGGGCCGCCCGCTCCCGGAGGCGGATGGCGGCGCCCAGCCGGAGCTCGGCAGGAGGCAGCGCGCCGCTCTCCGCCCTTCTCCTCGGCCCCTCGCCGCGCAGGAGGCTCGGAGAGGACGGCCGCCGCGCTCCACCAGCCCCCGCGGGGTGAGGGCCCACCTTGCGAGACCCGCAGACAAAGCGGTCGTCCCCTTGCCAGCCCGGCCGCGCAGGCTCCGCGGGCACGCAGGGGCTCTCCGCCCCGGCTCAGGGCAGCCCGGTTGTTGCCGTTATTGTCCTTAAAGAGAAAAAAAGGGAAAAATTCCAAGGAAACAAACCTCGCCCTGTCCGGCCAAACGGCGCATTTGAGCTTAAAATGAAAACTTCCGCGTGCGTTAGCAGTAAATGAGGTGGGACTTAGGAGATCCTCCCCAGAAAGCCCACGATGAATCCCAAATTACTTTGTTAGATAATTAGAAAGTGTTGATAATTATTTCTTTCATAATTCAGCGGTGTGACTGTAACAGGAAAATGATCTTGTGAAAGTTCACACGTGCAGATGTATTAGTTACTGATTCATTTGATTAAATGCTAGTCTCAAGTGCTCTGATCCACAGCTGAAGGCGGCCCCATTAGCATAACACTGATGTTTAATTTTCATACGCATAATTAGCCATATATTTAACACTAATAGCAACATGCAGCCTTCCAGCATTAAACAGCCTGGGATTTGATCTGGCCTGGGCTGAACTTTCCCGGTTACACCTAGGCTGTCTAGGGTGCGCAGTTATCACGGCACCGCATCTATGTAATCAAGCTCGTTTTGGCGAAGGGGGAACACCAATAAAAGGGAACATTCAAAACAAATCGCGGGGCTGATGCCGCTCGAGGTGCCAGTCCCGGACGGCCTTCCACCGCCACCGGGGCTGGGGCACCCCGGCAGCGCCCGCATACCGGGCTCGGGCTCCACCGGGCAGCGTCGGTCCTCGAAGCAACCTTCTCAGGGTTGCGCAAAACCTGACAAGACCGAGCCCCTCCGCTCCTGTTTCTCCCCCCCGCCCCCCCCCCCTTTCATTAGCGCTCCGTCGGTTTAATTGCCCATTTCCTAACGCCTCTTTTACTTCCTCTCCCCCTCCTTTTGTTTCCCTTTTTTTTTCGCTCGCGATGCAAAGTTAATTCTCACGAAGCGGCCGCGGCTCGGCGCGGGAAGGGGCGGCAGCGGTGTGTCCCCACAAGGACCCCTCCGGCAGCCGAGCCATGTAAGTGACCACCCGCGGCGTGTTTGCGCGTTCCCCGAGGCTGGACGGGGCGCCCCGGCAGCTCCGGCGCCTCCGCCGACCTCAGGTCCGGCGGCTGTGGAGAGGGGAAGCTGCTCTGTGCGCACCGGTTCTGCCACCACCTCCTCAGGCTGTCCGGGCGCTGGCAGGTCTCGGGGCGAACCATAATTCTGACGGCCCAGCCAAAACCCCGCGGACCGGACGGCGCGGTTGTGCTCACACCCGTCCTCCGTGCAACGCCGGCCCTGCGCAGCACGGCTTAGGGGGGCACGGAGAGGCCGCTGGATGCCCCGACCCCGCGGGGGCGACCGCCCCGTCGGGGTTCCTGCCGTGCTTCCCCGCAGGGGTTCCTGTGTGAAAGGCTTGTGCGAGGCGCCGGCTGTCCCCGCGTAGCTGAGCCATCCCTTCAGTCTCATTCATAATTAGGATTACAAACGTGCGCCATCAATGCCAGCGCCTGGCTGGTACAGCTCCACCGCGGCCGGTAAAAGAAGCAGTCCCGTCAGTTACTGAGGGGTTCAGAGCAAACAAGTTATTTCCAGGAGCTGCTAGCAGCCTCCTTAACACGGGGCAGCGGGGGGGTTCCTTGCCCCCAGCTGCCCCGTTCCAGCCTCACCCCACGCAGAGGCAGGGGATGGGGGAAGCTCAGCACCTGCGGTGCTATCCAGGGGCTCTCGGAGCGGCCACCCGCCGGGAGGTGCCCCTGGTGTGTTGCCAGGACGCGCGGGACCCCCAGTTGCTCCCAGCGCCCTGGGGTCTCCGAAAGTAAAATACCCCCTTCCCAGTCCGTCGGGCAGTGCTGGGGGTCCCTCGCCTCCCGCTGCTCAGCGCGCTGTTTAACCTCTGTGTATTTGTAAACTTGTTGGCTGCACCGTTTGTTTTTACAGGTTTTAAGGCTTTCCAAGCTCCTCTCGGGGAGGACGGAGCCGAGCGGCTGCCCCGCGGTGTTAGCCGTGTTCTGGTGGGGTCCTGCTTTTTGAAAAGATGCTGTTAGGAACTATTAGAGCTGACAGCTCGCTGTACTCGAGTGAAAACAAACAGCAGCGTAATGCTGTAAGAAAGGGGCTTACTTCTGCCCTGAACCACTGAGGGACCCGGTGCAGAGCAGCCCCGGTCGCCTACATGTGGCAATCTCGGCACAGGACAGCATCTGCCTACAATTAAGGGCAAGTTATTTGTACCAAAACCGCACCTCTGCTGCCGCGGATCTGGGGCATTTCTCGATGTCCCTTACTGATAGCCAAAGCTACCCCGCATTTCAAAGGACCAGGAGGTCCTGTTCCAGTAAGTAGCCTCTCAATACCAACGCCAGAGCCGCGCGGCCCTGTGGGGTGGTCAGTAACCGGCTAATTGCAAATGACACCCCCCCACACACACACCGCCCGCAAGCCCGGGGCAGCACCGCAGGGAGCGCGGGGCCGACTGGGACCCACAGCACATGAGGAGCACCAGTTCCAAACTCCATCCAGGAGCCGGGGCACCCTTCAGACCGCAAACTCTTCTGTTTCTGTTAAACGCTTTCACTGCGGAGTGCCTCTCCCTTAACTAACATGGGCACCGCAGAGCAGTGATTACCCCAAACCGGCTAATTCTTCAAGCAGGGCAATTATTGATCTCCAGAGAAGCACGCTTCGCATCTCATTTTTAATCACTTTTTTCTTTGTGCTGTGCAAAGAGAAATTAGCTGAGGCAGGAAGGAGGGGAGGGGGCTGCTGTTGGGAAGGCTGTGCGAGAGAAGGCAGCTGCCGCTCCTGCCACCCTTGGGAAACTTTTGTGCACCCTAGTAGAAGTTACAGCCTGGGAAACAGAACTGTGCCAATCGCTGTGTAGACAAACTGACCCCGTATCTTAGCTATAAAGGGAAAATCCTATGTTCCCCTGTCCTCTCAGCTGCACAGAGACCATGTCATCTGATACATGTTTGTCCCACACAGGATTTGGAAGAGAGGGGACCCGCTCTCTGCCCCTCACCCCAAATAACCCAAACCCTTCGCACTCACAGGCTGTGCATGGCTGCTTCCAGGGTCACAAACAAGCCAAGGGACTTTATTAAATCCTCACCAGCTAACACACAGAAAGGTCTATGTCCAGAGCCAACCTCTCCAAGTGCTTTTTCTGTCCTCTGCTGTGAGTTCTGCAGCACCCATTCTCCACAGAAACTACAGAAATCCTCCTCTCTTCCGAGTGAAACTTGAAATCCCAGAAGCACAGTGAGTCCCTCCACTTCTTGCTCCATCTTTAGGCTTCTTCCACCAGTTTAGATAGTATTTCTGCTCCCTCTGAGGTAATCACAATGGTATGTTCAAACTGTGCTGATCTGAAATGCACATTTAGCAGTTATTAAGGGACAAATGCATCCACTGTGCCTGAAACACTCACCCGGTTTTGGTGGTTTTTTTGGCTGTCAGTGATCAGTTCTACAGCGTTACGAGAGATCAAAAAAATTAAATCAGGCACCTTTTATTGTCTACAGAAATTGCAGTCCATTTATCCTTCAGAATCTTAAATTCAGGGGATCCTTCCATTATTATTGGCTCTGCAGCAAGAAAAACAAGATGCATCCTAAAGTTAGTTGTGTGGAGTGTGAAGCAAGCAAGAAAGGGGGGGTCCCAGCAGGTAGCTCCCCTTCTGCACAGGTCCCGCTCCCCTGGGCTAGCACTCCCTTGAAACACTAAACTGGGAACTAAAGAGGAAGACATCAAGGTAGGAAGTTGCCCATTCCTCTTTTGTAAAAGCAGGGAATTTTAATCAAGCTTTAATTAAGACCCCGTGGATAATAACCAAAGCACCAACCACACTTATAAACAGCAGATAGTTTTAAATATGTGAATTTTTTAAACAGGCTTAAAATGTTCATTAAATCAGCAAAACAACAATTTTCTTATTTCCCTCTAATTGCCATTTAGCCACACGGTGCGAGAGAGGGCTTTTCCCCGGCGGCTCTCCGTGATTGGTACCTTGCTGGTTCAGCCCGCGGCCTCAGAGCCCAGCCGCAGCCCCGCCGGGCAGCGGGCGAGTACGAGGCACTTTGGGCTGATGCTCCCCGGTACACCGCAGCTGCGGGGACACGGACCCATCCTACCCATCCTTCCCATCCTTCCCACCCCCCACAGCCCAAGGGGGGCGGCAGAGACTCCGCCTTGCCAAAAATACGCTTCCAAAATGTCATTTAGGAGGATCTATAATAATCATTTAATTCTCTAAATCTTGTCATTTGGAAGCTATTTCACTCAATCGGTTCCTCAATACATTAAAAAAAATGATATTTTAATCTTCTGCTTCCTAAGGGGTCAGTGTCGCTGACATTCCCCTATCTGCACGGGTATTTCGATATCCCAATAAAGAAACGGTCCGGATCTGGGCTGCTCTGTGTGTGCTTTTTTAAAGAAACCCGTAGCAGAGAGTTACTAACCTATTGTGAACGCCATTCCCTCTTCCATTAGCAAATCGCTGTCATTGGCTACAAAAGAAAATAAAACGCGGTTATGACTGCTGGGTTTTTGGTTGTTGGGTTTGGTTTTTTCCCCTTCTTAATAAACACAAACAGCACTTGGTTTAACCCCATTTTTTGGCTCGCAGGTACCGCGCACGCCGGTCCCCGCTACGAACCGCAGCATCCGCCGAACGTGATCCCACCTCGGCTGTAGCGGGACCGCCCGAAGGCGGCTCCGTCCAGGCCGGGCCCGGGGGCTTTAACTTTTCGTCCGAGATTTTTCTTTGCCCTGTAGCAAACTTTGCCGGCATGGTTCAGGAGCGGGGGGGGATGCAGGGGTACGGGGGGTGGTGCAAGGGCATGGGCGTGCGGGGGTCAGAGGCGGTCCGCGGGGCTCTGCTGCCCCAACGACTTCGTTAAAAGAGCGACTCTCAGAAAAGGAGGCCGGGTCTGCCCGCCAGTACCCAGCTTGGAACGCCCCCCCCCACCCCCTGGGGGATCCCCGCCGGGACCGGCAGCGTGCCTGGGTGAGGAGGGGGGTTCTGCTCGTTTTAGCCCCTCTCCTGGAGTGGTTCCACCGCCGGGGGCAGAGCGAGCACGGGGGCAGAGAGGCCGCTTACCGTGGTGCCACACCTCGGGGTGCCCGTGGAAGTACGACCCGATGCCGTGGCCGACGAAGAACGGGCAGACCTGGAAGCCGCCGTGCAGCGCCACGGAGCTGCGGGGGCAAAGAGGGCACCGTGAGGGAGTGTGGCTCGACCACAACCTCTGCCAGCCCCGGGTCTTGCCACCACACTGGTATCAGCAGCAGCACCACCCAGCCCCCATCCCCAACACTGGGTCACCACTTTGCGCCTGCTCCAAAAGACAGCAGCCGTCGGAGCTAGCACTGTTAGGTTTCAGAGTGAACATGCCTGCCAGCAGAGGCTGGTAGCTTCTGTGTCGGCCCTGCTGTCTATGCAAGGCAGCAGCATAGCATGTCCCTATCTGGTGCTGGGCAACCTTTTCCACAAGCACATTGGGAACTCATTTTAACCTGGGACAGCTAAATGGCAACCAAGTCACGCAGCTGAGGCTCCAGCACACCACCGAACTGCAGCCTCTGCGTCTGCCAAGCCCTCCCTCTGTGCACAGTCCATGCTGGGTTGGGTATGCACTGTCTGCACTGGGTTTTCTGCAGGAAAATAGGTTCTTGCTGCCAACAGGGAGAGTTAAGAGCCCTACTGCTTCCTTTCTGGAATACTGCGAATATTCTGTACCAAAATGTATTGAAACTCCAGCAAATCTATTCCTGATAATGAGCCCATCACCAAACCCATCAGTAGCAAAATGGAAGTCATAGTTCATCAGTTCTGCCTGGGAGATCTGTCCTGTTCTCCAGGGCCTGCCTCAGGGAGGAACATCTCTGAGACCTGCCTGCAGGAACATGGTCAGGCACTGATCCCTGCCCATGTCAGGAAAGCAAATTCCTATTCCGATCCCTAAAAAAGGTATGTGGGGTGTCCTCTGGCTGCTGGGCTACCCCATGCCTGCAGGCTTCACTCTCGGACTCTGGCCTTACTCAGGCAGCAGTGCATGGGGTGACCTAAGGGCTCAGCCAGGAAGGCTGCCACATCCAAAACAGAAATGTGCAGAGGTTTGGGGGGACCTGAAGGTGGATTAGAAGTGACAAGGAGGGTACCCCTGTCCCTGCATATGATCCCCATACTATTTCTAAAATCAAGCAGGAAGGCACTTAGCCTGAAAGATTTCACCTACAACATTAAAATCAAACGTGTTTTAAATGAAACTTGAAGTTTTAAGAACTTCAGGTTTGCCTATATTTAACTGTAACATGTTTTCTCAGAGCTTGACTACAGGCAGAAAAGCAGAAAAGTTAAGAAACTCAAACAAAAGCGTAAGCTCTCACAGAAATTAAAGCATGTTAAACCCTACAGGCAGACTCTCACTCAGGTGCAAAGTGGCCTCAACCTGCTGCATGCAGTGATCCCTTTGCACACCAGGTTTCGCAGACCCTGCAGTGCTGGCTCCAGTGCCTGTGGGTCACCATCCCAGAATTTAATGCCACTGCAATTGAGGGACATGGTGCTCCACCACAGCAAAATGACAATGTGAGAGTCAGGTCAATGGTTAATAATGCTGCAGCATTCAGACCTTAAGAGCACATTCTAACAGGATTTGTATATTAGCTTTTACCCACCCATTGCCCTGATACAAAGACCCATCACATTTCATTCATTAACTCTAGAGAAAATGGAATGTCAATTTTAGCTGCCTCCAAACTCCGAAGTATTGGCAAACAGGGTTACCAATAAGGTTAGAAGTTTGGCTTAATTTGGTTGTACACAAAGCCATCTATATGGAAAAAAAGCAATGAAGGTTTATGCAGCAAAAAGTCCTACTTACAGATGGAAAACCTTCTCCCCTGCCTTTCTAACACATTGCCCACATCTGGGTCAGAGGCATGGCCTGCTGGCCATGACAATACTGAAGGCCAAGGAAGAAGCACAGAGAATGGAGTTGAAAACCAAGATTACTCAGAAACATACACAAAATGAAACGGATGATCTCCAGTGACCAAGCCCAGAGCAATGCAGATAATGAGTCCCATCTGGGTGAAGCAATTCTCTGAAGAGAGAAGGGAGAAGCCATCCATGCAACATGTGATAAGCTTTTCTTTCACCTTCTTCTGCAAGCCTTTTTGCAAGAGGACAAACAATCCCACTGACTACTCAGCTTTGCCGATGTCCTTACATGGCACTCCTGACCACTGAAAAAGCACGGTTGGTTTATGAGATGTTTTGTATTATTACAGGATTTCCCCCCACCAAAATACCCATCTTCTGTAGCAAGACAGAAAGTTTTTTTCTGTGCAGCTATTCTTCCAGGCACCATGGCTACATACTCTCTGCGGGCAAGGGAAGCTGTTGCCCCAGCACTCGGCTGCTGCTGAGGGTGGCAGTGGCAGCAGCAACTGCGTGCTGAGCATCGGGTGCAAGAGCACTGAGGTACACAGAAGGCAGTGTTAAGACAGCATCCTGTCCTCAGATGGTGAAAGAACTGGTTCTCGTGCATTTCAACAGCAAATTCTGCCACTTTTTTGCCAAACAGCTTGAAAACAACTCCGTTGGCACCAATACTTCAGTGGTTGCTGTCTGTGATCAAAATAAGGGATCTTGGAGCTCACAGGGCTTTGACATCAGTGCTGACAGACGTCCGTGCCCCTCCTCCTTCCCACTTAATAACGTCTACCTAGAGAGCTTGGGTATTCTTTACATAAAATGCAACATGGTCAATGAACCTGAAGTGACACACAGAAAACCTGTGGAGAAAATAAGCTGCAGGTATGAAACTCAGCCACGTTCAATCTGGCTTTAGCATCTGCATGCGCTTCAGAAGCACCTCATAGGGAATTTCACTCCACAACTACTAGCTTTACTTTGAAGTATTTAAAAATCCTAGTGAGCTATTCATCCTTGTGGAGTTACAGTAAAACACGCAGCTTTCATAAAAACCCAAAGCTACTAACCCCAGCTACAACTTGCAAAAGCAGTTCTGCAAATGTACACATTGGCTCTAAGTGCTGTCAGGAGGACTGTGAAACAGCTCTGAGAAGAGTGAATTGAACTGTTAATCTTGGTCAGCCTCTCCAGTCTCCAGGATTCCCAGGCTGTGGAATCTGATTAAAAATCAAGATTCCATGGAGTAGATAATTTTTGCACAAGTTCTGCCATTTGCTGCTGACAACAGCTCAATATTTTGGTTTCACTGTTTCACTGCCCAGCTCAGGACCTGTCAGCGTTGGCCTTTCTTTCCAGCTCTCTCTGGAAGGCAGCCTTACAAGACTGCAGCCCCAGCTCCATGTGCTGCACCTAGCAGACAGGCAGCATCCAGAGGAGTCCTGACTGCAAGCACGAAAGCAGTGAAGGTGGAGGCAGGAGTTGGCATGGCTGAGCTGGGCCACCTGGCATCTGCCGTGGGAAAGGAGAGCTGCACCGCTGGGTGGATGCGCCAGTCTGCCAGTTCCCCTTGGCTGCCGAATCACTTCCAGAGCAAAGGCTGGGCAGTAGAGCCATGCCACACTGACAGCATCAAGGGGGAAAAAAGGGTTCTTCAAAATAACCATTGTCAGAAATATCCAGTGACACATTTATCATCACACACTTTATTCTTTGAGCCATGTTGCACACCTGGGCAGAGGTGAATTGGGCAGGATTAAAAGCATAATCATTTAATGAGACCAGTATTTGATTTTGCGTTTTGCTGCCATGTGTTTCAGCCCAGTGGCTGCGAAGTCAAGAGTACCTGCAGTGCTGCTTCTCTTCTGCTGATGGCAAAGCCAGGCAAAGTATCTGGCATTGGGACGAACTGGCAGCAGTCAAGCTGGTAAAGGACCATCACTGAGGGCCAGGCTGTCCACCTGAACACATAGGCAGAGCTTTTGTGTGGTGGTATCATGCTTCTGAGAATGGACAGAGACAAGAGAGTTGGGTGCCAGCTCCCCCCTGAGTATCTTCTTCCCATGTTGCCAGACAACAGTTAATTCCTCAAAAGGAGGGATGAGTCTGGAGACGTGTATTGCTGTCCTGCCAGCAGTCCAACAGGGAAATTGCCACAAAGCCACAACAAGGCAGGACTGACTCTTACAAAGCTCTCCTTGATACTCTGCAGCCTCCTCTGAAAGGAGCTCTTGGGTTATAAATCCCTCCTGCTATGAAGCTGAAAAGCAGGTTGAAAGAATTTCCTTAGGGGGCTGGCCCTGTACAGATAGCCTCTAGGAGCATCTACAGGATAACGGGCAACCCAGCTCCAGAGGAAAAAAATCACACATTCAGTCTTAGTACTGAAACCCCATTTTTTTGGGGAGGGGAGAAAACCAACACAAACCTGCATTTTCTTTTCTTTTTACCAAATATTATTTTCCTCAAGGCAAGTCTGGTACAGTATTCTAAGTCATCACAGGAAACAAAGTGAAACAAATCCTCTTTTTATCATTGACAGAAATCATTTTGGGCTCTTTGATGGCATAAGGGAAGAATTTTGCTGATCAGACAAGATGGCACAGACAGCTTTGCTACTTGGGCTGAACATCCTGGTGAATTGATTCCTTCCCATCTAGGGATGCTTGCCCTACAGTGCCAGCTTCTTTCCCCAGGGATAAAACAGTCTTGCAGAGAGAACAGCATGACATGAATGGCTGAAGTTGCTAAACCTGTCTTACACTTTTGGGCACTTGGGAACACACTTGGGGAACACTGAATGAGATGAGACCTATAATAATTGTTTTCTTATCTAGGTATTTTATTTTTTTAATTAGAAGTAATAGTGTTTTTCTTAGCTATATTGTTAGCAAAATGACCACTGAATGGCATATTTGCCTTTTTTAAAATTTCTTAATTCTTGAAAACAGAATCAGCCTAAATGAGATTTCCTCCTGATTTTTATACCCATTTTGAATAGTACCATATTATCCAATTTAAGAAACTACAAAATTCTACTGGGAAAATATTAAAGTATTTTTCTCTTAAACGATAACATTAGACTGAGGGAATGCACAAATTCAGGGATTCCCTATAATGACAATAAATGTTGAGGTATAATTAGTAATATTTTTGAAAGAAAGGTACATTTTAGTTTCAAACTGGAACACAAATTACTGTATTTTTCTTACAATAGTACTGAACTTTTATTTGAGGTTCTCTGTTTCTGAAAGCAGACATGATGGATTGAAATAAAAGATAATTTATTGCAATGCTTACTTTCAAGTGCAGAGAGAAGCAGTGTAATTGTAATTTACAGTAGCTGTCAAGGAAAATCTATCACAGATGACATTAAAATGACTTATTTTGCCTGAGCCACTTATTGTTTAAATGTGCATAATCTGATAGAAACAGATTTTTTTTTAAATCTGCTTTATATTGTTCTAAATTAATATCAAAACATATACTTATGAGTTAAGCATTTTAAACCATTTATTAACACTTTCATTACTCCTCTTTTTTTTCCTAGGAGTTGGAAATTGGTTTCTTTAATAATCTCACATTTATATTTTTAGCTCTCTACACTCACACAACACTTCCACGTACCTAAGCTCACTGCCTTAACAAGTAGATTTCAAACTAGACTTGTTTCTGTCAGAAAGAGAAATGTCAGAAATGTCAGAAGGAAATGGAACACAGGGCCCAGTTCCATTTCCAGTGGAGCTGACCGGCAGACAGTTTTGCCACCACCTTCAGTAAGAACAGGTCAGCAAAGACTCAGATTTTTCTAAGCGAACTAACTCGCGAATCCATGCAATCTTTTATGTGCAACTTGTAGGTGATGGGAGAAGGAATCCATGAAACACTGAGTGTCAGCTATCGAGCTTCCATAACAAAGACGATGTTACAATACTGAATGCAAACTCATCTCTGCAATATAATTACTTGGAAATCTATTGTAGAAAGGAAATATTCTGATTATTTGTGTGCAAGATATGTTCTGCATATCACTTGAGCACCTATCTAGAAATACTGATGAAAGAAACCAAGACACGTTTGCATTCTGATGGGCCTAAATGTTTTCAGCTTGTAGGTAGGTGCCTGTTCTCGGGTATTTATGGTATCTAACTTTCAAAGCTTCAGATTTGTATGTATGTATGCATTATATATGTCTGTCTGCATGCAAATATCAAATCACAAATAACTGGAAACACACAGCTTCAGCAAACCAAGGCAATCTTTCAGCAGAGGCAGTGTTAAAGTAGTTCTAAACAAATCAGCACATTTAAATTGCCAACATTATAAATTCCTGAGAAATAAAGTTAACGACCTGCTATTTCATATGTAGTTTTGAACAGCTACTAGCTTTGATTAATCTGCTTTTCAAAGGGGGCGCTGACTATATATATTTACACTTTGCAAGTGAACTGACCTCTGTAGCAACACAGCAAAAATCCAATGTCACATTCAATTCTGTTCTTTTTTCTTCTTCCTCCTTTATTTTTTTCCTTTTTTGTTTTTTTCCTTTTTTGTTTAATACAGCTAGAATTAATGTAGTGAATCTGTAATGAAATGCATTATCCTGCGTGGAGATTTATCAGATTTTCCAACTGAATGCCATGCTTTGCTAGCACTAGCTGGAGTTCACCTGCATGTTGGTGTGGCGTGTGGCTCTTTTTTGTAAAGAGTTAAGTTGAACACAAAAAAAGGGAACAAAGGTCAGCACCCAGCCGCCACTTGAATGTGAGATTTTTCTTTTTATTCCCCTTGATGTATACTAGGCTCTGTGTTATTAGTCTTAATGATGGAAAATTGTAGTGTTGATACAAATCTTTTTTTCAAAGTAGTAGGCGGGAGCTCCATTTGTTAGTAAGTTTTTTTGTGACTAAAAGCCACGGACAGTACATTTATGTAGCAGTAAAAGGCCTAGATGCTCTTTCCATAGCAGAGCTAATTATTCCTACTGTGACCTTACTGATCTACCCTGTTCCTAGTACATCTCATCTGCACGCCTGTTCCTCTGTGTAGATGGTGTCAGAGAATATGAAAAACCCTATAATGAAACCATTTTCATGATGGAGAAAGGCTACTGGAGTTGCACTTGCTACAAAGAGGCTCAATTATATGAGTAATTGTGATAATTTTCTACATTCATAGCCTTCAATGGGGAAAAAAGAATGAGAGCCACAAAGGAAAATTACTTTAACAAGAAAGTACAGAGAGTAAAAATGGAAGAAGAGACAAAAAAGGGGAAAAAAATAACCAGAAAAAAAGTTTAAAAAATAGATCTGGAGGGAGGAATAGCAAGACAGGGAGAACAACAGAAATGCTCAAAAAGCCTATGTGCAGCTGTGTTGCACAATTAAATTGAATTTTTTTTCTGCAGTTGATGAATGTGACTACTGCAAATGTGCCTCTGTAGTTAGCTATCATTTGTTGTTCCGTGACAGGAAAAGGATAATTACCTCTCAGAGAGAATCAAAGGCTGACATGCCCTTTAGACACAGCCATGAATGCAGAGCTCGATAGAATGCTTGAATAAGAATCCAGTGTTCTGTGCCCCCTTCTACTCAAGAATAAATTTTGTTAAAATGCAAGAGCACCACCAGTAAATTTGTTGAACCCTAGGTGTTCAAAAATATGAGGTGCATCTATCGACTCATCCCATTTGCAAAAATAAAACTACATTTTGAATTCACTTCTATTATATTCATGGACAGTAAGATAGTGAGATATGCATTAAATTTCTTTTCCCAGTAGGGGTCTGATTCAACATTTCCTATGAAAGAACAGAAAGACACTATCCTTTTTCTCCAGGCTAGTTAGCCTATAATTTAAAACTGTCAAAAACACAATTTTATACAAAGTCTTCAATAAAAGCTTCTCAGATATAACCCAAAGAGGTTTTACTAAAGTTTGATTCAGACTCTGTTACAATATTTTTAAAGCTATAAATACATCTAACTGATATTTTGCCGTTCTCTTTTTTCCTCAAAGTATTTGAAGATTTACAAAGAAAAAAAAAAAAGCAGCATCCTTTCAAGGTGACTAAGCCTTGCAGCTTTTAAGTAATCAGAACGTATTCAATAGCGTGTTGGGACCATTAATAGTCCAGAGAAGTATTGCTTAATGCAATGTATGTGATATATGTCCGTGCTCTTTTTGGCAAACATTTTAAAATAATTCATAGTTACCTTCAAGAAACTAAGCCGTATTTTTATTCAAAGCTGACAGCAGCAGAGGCATGACGGCGTTTATGTGAAGGCTACAGGAGATGCAAAATAGGGAAAAACCTCTGAATGTGAGCTCTTTTTCCCCCTGTGTCGTTAGCATGCACTGCTCTTTGTAAGATCAAAAGCTCTCGAGTTAAATATTTTTGTGCTTTTTAAACAAAGAGACTTATTTATGTTGACTAATTCCTTTGTAACATTCGTTATTGCTATACAACGAAAACAATGGTTTCTAACCTCCTCACATGGCGAGACAGATGTGGTGCAGTTTCACAGACAAACGCAAAATAAACAAAACCCCACCGCAAATTACATCTGTTAATTTAAAGCTATCTCGAGCACATCTTTGACTCTTTCTGCAGTTATCTTTGCTGACCCCAGTGTAATTCACTTAAAAAAAAAAAAAAGTCTCTTACCCAAGGACCAACATTACAGCTTGGCAGTTCACATACTGATATCAGACTAAAATGATGGTTTTGAATCATAAAACATGTCATCAGCTTTATACCAAACCACCAATAACCTTTGTCCCACTTGCCAGCCCTCCTTTTACTTGTCAATATAAGGCTTACCTGATTGTGTTTCCAATTACAGAGAAGGGAGCCCCTGGTCTGCAAGCTGCAATTGCTTCATCTCTACATTTCCTGGCAACCTCCACTAACTTTTCACCAGATTTATCCACATTGCCCACCAAAAAGGTTTCAGAAGTGTCACCATGGTAGCCATTGTAATACACCTAAACACACACAGAAACGTAAAGACATTTTCTCATTTTGCATCCAGAAACAGATTGTCTCCTTAATTAAATCCATGCTTTCTAGGAATGAGCTATGTATTGTAACAGCTAGACCATGGGTAAGCTGTATTTGCGAGAATGAGACCAGAAGAGCAAAACATTGCAGAGGAGAAAAAAACCAACCAAACAAAAGATTGCAAGGTGTGTAAGGGTTGCCAGTTAAAAATTCAAGAAAAGCAAAAGTTGTGCATTACTGCCCAGCAGCGAACCAGACAATGACACTGCTCAGCTACAGGGCACGAGGCTAACTGGGCTGTATGTAAGAAGATGGATGGAGGCTGTGCATGGGCTGAAGGGGGTTCTTGGGGTCCATTGGGAGCCCACCCACCCAGGACACCTGCTCCTGGGGCTGGGACCTTCTTGCACACCACAGGGTTGGCTGCTGAGTTCCGGTGTTGGGAGTGGGCACTTGAAGACCCAGCAGCTCTAGGAGGGAGACCCACACCTCCACAGCCAGCAATCCCTGCTGGGGTTTTGAGTGATACTGTGCACAGCTGGGTGAGAGGGGCACCCTGCTAACATCCACAGGGAGCCCCATGGAATGTACGGGCCAGATCTACAGCCAGCCTCTGCATGTTTGCTTTAGTCTCAATTTTAAGCTACGGTGGGGCATTAACATTGGATTTTACTTCTGGTATCCAGAGCTGAATTTTGAAAGACAATAAATGTACCATTCTGACACTGCAAAGTTTCATGTCCTGAAAACATGGCACCCTGCTGAATAAAAACATTTTTGGTTCTTTTCACACATTTCGTAGGCTTTAAACATCAGCTCTCCAGAAGTTCTCTGCTGGGCACAGGAAGCCTTGGCTATGCACTATGGAGCTCTGCAATGCACCATTAAAATGGGGTTTGCAGCTCCTAAGTATGGCAGGCAGGCACATAATTGTAAGACCAAGCCAAATTACCCTAAGGAAAGACAAATGATAATGGTGCACAGTTTTGATCTTCTAAAACATTTTGTCTCCTGAACAGTGGGCAACTATCCTTCTAGGACTAATAACTCACCAAGCTTAAAGCACTGAACTTTTGCCACTGGTGAGCTATTTGTGAAAGACAGGCTCACATTCTTTTTGGTCAATTCCAGACTAGAAAAAAACCAAAGAAAGTAAAAAATTGGCTACAGACAGTTTATGCCAGGGCCAGGTTTGTGTTCAGGGTGAGATGGGAACAAAATGCAGGCAGTTAGGAGCGAGAGGTGTTTAAAAGGTGAGTGCCAGCAAGCATCCAACTGTGTTGCCACCACTCTGGTGGAGAGCAGCTGTGACCTCCTGCTCTACACCTTCCTCTGCCATGCCAGACTGCCAATAAATCTTTTCTCTTTCTTTTTTTCTATTATTAATTTAATGCCCATTGGTCAGGTTATAATCTAGCTAGCTCATATTTAAACTAAACTGGTTCATTTTTAGTGCTAGCAAGTACAACACACAAAACCCCAGCATTAAACATCCTCCTCCTCCTGAAATAGAAAATACAGATTTAAAACATAGGAGAGCTTAAAATTAATAGCAATATTTGCAGCAGCCCATCAACTGCAATTACAGACTTCTGACGTTAATAAGCTACAACCACAGCAACTGTAACACACTAATTCCTTGCAAGTCAGGAAACAACCAAGTTGTAAGAAATGTTAACCTCGCAATGGCAGGCTGAAAATGGCACTATGCTGAGGATTCAGTGATGGATAATGCTATTGTTTCTACACTAAAATACATTTTAAAGGCCACATGATACCAGCCAATAACATTTGTATTTCATGTACGAAATTTTACCACCTTAATTGTGCAAAAATGGATTTTTTCTTCAAATAATTTGTACATAGCGTGAAGCTTTTACACTCAATAACCAGAACATTATTTAGTCATTTTATAGAGCTTGTAAACAATTATAAACAATTTGTTGTACACTATTTACTTTGATTTTTATTCTGTCCACCTGTGAAATGTCCCAGATTTGCTCATTAAAAATAAGCTAAAAAGATCAGTTAGCAGTGCTGAAAAGCAATCTTTTTTCTTCAGCTATTTTGGAGCTCAGCAATTATCAAACACAGCACAGTTCAGTTTTGAATGGTAAAAAGATCTTACAAAGATAATCAGAAATTCGCATCTTTGCAGGAGTCTTCACATTCACAGAAACTTCAAGGTTTATTAAATTTTACAAGGCTAAACAGAAAACAAATAAAAATGTGCAATCAAAAAGATCACTACCATTTAGTCAGACTTTATTTGTAAAGCAGAGTGAGCAGGATATGCACTAATATAAAAATATTTCATTTAGTTTATCATGGAAAGTGTCTGTTATATGAATATATGTTTTTACATACACATATATATATATGGCATCATTATTACCTTAAAAGATAAAAAAAAAAAAATTACCGTAATGAGATACAAAGAAATCAGCTGTTAAATCCTTAGCTGTTGCAAACTGATTTAGACTAATAAAATGAGCCAAGGTACACCAGTTCACCAAAGTAAAAATGCAGGCCAAAAATACACTTTCAAAATGATAAATCACACTGTGCAAACCTGATATTGTCAGAATTCCACAATTAGAAAGTATGGAGATGGGAATGAATTTAGAAACATCAAAAAAACAACCAAAGCATACCCAGTTCTAGATCACACGTGCGGATACCATGGGAAAAAGGTTACTGACCCTAATTTTAATAGAAAAAATATTTTAGCAATCTTGCTTGAATCTCATGCTCAGAGGTAGGTCTGCTGCAGATTTCTTCCACTTCTGCCAGTATGAAATTTGGACCCATGGAAAATAGTATCAAGTTACCAGAAGTTCCCTTAATGATTAAAAATGCCCGCTGTTACAAGATGTTACTCCCTTGTATGTGACATATTATTGCAAAGCAACAGTGGGATTCAAAAGACATCTGTGTTCATATTAGAAATAAATTGCACTTTAGGAAAATAAAAACATGCACAGTAAAAAGAAAAAAAGCTTCTGCAAGAGACAGCTTATATATATATAAATGAAATGAGAATTAGGCTTCCAGTTTCCATACTTTCTTGCTCCTAAGAAAATCCAGCTGGTGTTTATTTAAGTAGCTATAATTGACCATTCTCTGGAAATATTAAGTCATAGTTATATCACACTATTTCTGTTTCTGTGCAAAAGGTTCGGGGCTTTTATACCAGAAATGGAACACAACACTACCTTCAGGGATTTTAATAAATGTAGGGAACACTGCTAGCAAAAGAGTTGCTGTCCAAATAGACTGACATACGCAGGCCAATGTAGCCTCTAATGACAGAGTAAGATAATGTCAGGCCCCACTCAAAATCAGCAGGAAGAGGAAGATCAATCTTGGCAGAGTGAAGGAAAAATGCTGGCTTTCTTCATGTTAGCTCATCTCATACATATCTATCTTCAGCTGCTGCCCAGTACTGTGGTGCTCTGCATTAACTACACAGTGGATCAATAACAATTACACCTTCTCAAAAACATGACACATAGCAGGATTGGGTTGACATTTCACTTAGGCCAACATTGATCTCAGTGCATCTGATTCCAGTCCTAAATTCAAGTCAGGCCTGGGTCTAGCTGGAATAAACACACAGTTAAAAACAAAAAAGGAAACCAGCTGCTTGTGCCTTGGCTCAGAAGTAAACAGCACATCCATCTGTGCATCCCCCATCTTCAATCCACTATTCTTCCTGTTGCTACTAGTGATTCGAAAGTTGATCAAAGACTATTTTTTTATATGAATTACTCACCGTGACATCAATGTTGATAATATCTCCATCCTGAAGAGGTCGACTGAAACATAAACAGAAAAAAACCCACAACAGTGACAGACGGTTCCCAACAAAGGGAATATAAGAATAAACACCTAATGACACATACATAAAAAATCAGGGGGTAGATATTTTGTGATGGAGGAAGGCCGAGGCAAAAAGAATAACCATTTTTAATGTTCAGCTCTCACTACTTAGAGAACAAGCGTAGCTGAATATAAAATAATGAGAAACGACTACCAGAAAAACATACCAACACCTCAAAAATCTGCCATTATATTTATTCTTTTTCTCTCACTAGGGTTCGTATTTTACTTTCTGAGTAGCTGAATGTGTTGCAAATAATAATAAAAGCCACCCAACAACAACACATAAATTCAAATATATTTATTCCTTCACCTATATTTATTTTGCTGGAGGGAAAGAAAATAAATCAGACTGTTCTTGGTTTTTTTCCCAAACACTAAATTCTAAAGGCATTATGCTTTTTTTTTTAAGTTTCTTGACAAACAGGATATTTTTTCCCTATTTCACATTAATTGCTATAACATCTATAACATCTATAACATCTATCAGTAACATGATGTGCATCTGCAATACATTTGTATATGACATTTAGTTAAGCTGAAACATGTTCAATGTTAAACATAATTTATTAATTTCAGTTTAACATTTTCATTTCTGGTGGTAGAATGTATATTATTGGGGAAATACCTGTCAGGAATACCATGACATACCACGTTGTTTACAGAAGTACAAACAGATTTTGGAAACCCTCCATAGCCCAGAGGTGATGGATAGGCATTCTGACTGATTATTTCATGATGAACAATGGAATCTATTTCTTCAGTTGTCATGCCAACCTAAAATATCAAACATAACATCCTGTTAAAAAAGCAAAGATAGTTTCTCATATTTACAGAATGTGATTGCAGCCAAGTGTTTCAATGAAATCTCGGATGTTTCAAATACACTGCTTTGATACAAAACACTAAACTGCCTGATATACTTTATTGATATGTTGAACCTTCTTTTTTAAAATAGAGAAAGGTTTTATACAAAGTATACAGTAAAATCGAGTACTTAAAGGTTCCTAGAAAACCTAAAATACTGTCTACTTCCTTTCCATTCTTTTTTCCACATCTGATTTCTCAAGACACCAATTTTCCATGGCACCTTGTTTCAGTAGCTGCTGAAATGTCTGGTTTCAATGCTCTCAGTCATTTAAAACACATCATTACTTTCCCTTTGATTTGTGAAAGAAAAGACCTTAACTCTTGTAACTGCCCAGGACATTCATCATAATGCATTTGTGCATTTTATGAAACTGCTTTCCAAGTATGCTGTAATTTTATAAAAGATTTAAATATTTGGCTTCATATCTTGAGGATATTTTACTTAAAGTCACCATAGCCTGGATGATCACAGTGAATCTACATCCATAAAAATCCATTATTTTTAGAAATATTCATTTTTACGCTTGACATTTTCTAGATTCATCTTTTTCTCACAATTTTACATATTTAAAAAAACCCCTCTCATAAATCATTCAGCCATTTTCTGAGTATCCATGGAGTGGAAAATGCAAATGCTGAAAATAACATTCTTCTTGCTTTTCTTTTGGATCAACTCTGTCTCTGGAATGGTTAGAGCTGAAATTTGAAATTTGGTAGGGAAACCTCCCTCATTCAGAAGAAGTGCTTTTGAGGGTTCCTTTCCAAATTGATTTTGATTTGAATGAGTTTTGAGTCTTTGAAAATCATACTTCGTACCCATATGAAGATCAATCTTGGCAGAGTAAAGGAAAAATCACAGTGGCTGTGATTTTGGAGGCCTTTTTAGTAACACAAGGAATACAGGTAGGCTGTGGTGCAGGAGGCATACTTATCCATACATTGAAATATTCAGTGATCATGCACAATGAATAGAGTGGAGTACACTTGTGTGCTGTGCTGAGGATAAAACCAGGCCCATTTTGCTCAGCTTGTATCTTGCTCAGCACAAAAACATGGCTGGGTAGATAAGGAGCAATGATCACACTCAAGATCAGGATTTGGGGTTACTGTGCAACCCCCCTGCTTTTGCAGTAGCCATTGCAGCCTCTGTGCTGGGATGGCAGCCGCAGCGGACTGTCTCTATTGGATACTGCAGCCAGTGGTTCTGGATAAATACAGGTTTGTTGCTCCTGCCTTCACTCACCCATCTATCATTTTCAATACAGACAAACTGAACCGCTATGTACCAGACTGGGTGCTGTCTGCCGCTGGCCTGCTCAAGGAATCTGATGTGGCTGTTGGACACTCAGCACACAGATCTGTGCTCCCTGCATGGCAGGCTTACACACTGTGGAAAGTTCTGCTTTTAACAATATCTCTTTTACTTTTAAAAGAGCTTTTGCTAGCTGGGCAAGGCTGGGGAGGCACCTACTGCACACCTCACCCTTTATTTGGGACTGGGCAATATTATGGGATCTATCAAAATACTTCCATTTCATAGAATTTGCTGTTTTATTTCAAAATCATTAACTCAAACCTAGGAAATACTGTCATATATAATACCACATTGTATTTTTAAGTCCTACAGGCAGTGAATGGTAGTACCAAAACAACACTCAGCCTAAACTTCATCTTTCTGCATCCATGCATTATAATGCACCTTTGTTGTATTGGGGAACGTTACTGCCACTAACTAAAGCTGGTTTGGAGGGCTGCATTCAACAAGACAACAGGAACAGGTGGAAGGATGGGGCTCTTCAAATAAAATAGCAATGCAGAGTTTACCTTATGAGAACAGCCTAAAAGACCTTGGTTTGTTTAGCCAGGTACGCTAAAAGCTGTAATAGCTCTATTACTATGGGAAAGAGACAGATTCAAGGAAAGGGAGGAGGCTGTTTAAGAGTGAAGCTGGCACAAGAACAAATGGGTATAAACTGGCCACATGCAACACCAGGCTGGGAAGTAAAAGCCGCTTCCTGTTGCAGTGAGGGAGGGTCCTGGCCAAACACTTAACTGGTATAAAACGCTCACCACCTGTCTCCAGCTGACCTGGGCAGTGGTTGCAGCACCACAACTCCTTATGCCACCTCCCTCCCAGTCCACAGGTCCTGGTCATGTAGTTTTTACCTTATATAAACCTTCTTGCTCCAAAATGTTCATTACATCTATGCAGTATTTTGCTATTATGTATGATTTGGCACATACTATGAACTGCATCCTAACCTATACTGTGCTGCGTACATATGTATTTTACACATGACAACAACCAAAGAGTATTAGTGAAAAACTGCTTGCATTCAAAACCCACGTTGCATGTACATGATCCTTCAGAAACATGTACATATAAGCCTATGTAAGATTAAAGATGTAGGCAGTTTTGTTATTGGCCACCCAGGTCCAGAATTAAACTTCTTGGAAAGTGTGATGACAGCTGAAAGAAAAAATGCATGGTAAACTGGTATTTTTTAGCCCCTTTTAAGTCAATGGCATTAACCTGCAGTCCCCATCTATCTCTGCATCCCGTAGCTACTCAACCCATTTTACTCTATCCAGTATGCTATTACATGAAATAACAAGGCAAGGCAAAAAAAGCACTCCTTCATCTGCAAAACCTGGTAACAGACTCCTCCCATTACATTTGAACTTGGGAGGTATCCTAAAAAGCATACTGTAGAAACATTTCTGGAAACCAAGAGGCTTTATTACCAATGCACTCCAGAAAACTGTAGAATTTGGCAGCTGGTTTTTCCAATGGCAGCTCTAGGAGTTGCACCGGACCCCACAGGACAGTGAGGGGCCAAAGGATGGATGGGAACAAAGGAGGCAACTCAGCCCTTCAAACTTGCATACATGAAGAGCTAAAAAGCATGACGTATGAGGAAGATCAGCCATGAAATGAAAGGAAAAAATGTAGCAAGGGCCTTATGAGAAACTCACATGATTTGGCACAATCCTAATGGAGGGAGATTACAGACTGAGAGACATTACACCTGAGAGACATTACACCTGAGCCAGCAACTCACTCTAAGTACTACATAGGTCCAAAATACAGAAATAATTAAAAAGTCATATTATGAAATGAATCAAAAGTTAATAAATCCTTTATTTTTATCACAATCTAACTTAAAAGTTGGATGCACATTAAGGGAAAGTAGAAAAGGAAAAAAGATAGAAAAAGGTAGAAAAAAACCCCAAATAAGTGCAAGCATAAAATGTATTCAAGCTGTTATGGGACTTCTGTAATTGTTACCTTCAAGACCTTTCCAGCCAGAAGCAGGACATGACGGGCCAATTGACAAGCTTGACGAAGCCCTTGAATCTGATCTTCATTTTTAATTTCTATGTCGTCTCCCCAGTCTGGTACAATGCCTGTCGTCACATAGTCTGGCTTCTTTATGTGCTTGGAGAAAAAGGATTGAAAATGAAGATCAGAAAACTGAGCATGACAATGGGATCATTTTCTCAGATACTGCCTCCTGCTTCATGGCAGCTTGCCCTTTCTGTCGTAGTATCGACCTTCCTAAGCCATCAGGGCAAACCCTCAAGGCTGCCTCAGTATTTCTTCCACTGCCCTTTTGAACTTAACATTGCCTGTTACTGCTGACTTGTACAGTCTGTTAGCCTTCCAGTGCTGAAACCCCAGATACTGCAGCTGACTTCCAGCACAGTTGCAAGTTGTGAAACTGTGAGAAAGACTTTAAAACTCTTCATTTTCTTTTGCAAAGAAAGCAGCACATTTTCTACAAAAGGCATCTAAACATTGGGACCAATGGGACAAACATACAGAATTAGGCTCAAAAATAAAACTGATCAGATCCTTAGTTTCTCATTCAGACAAAACTCTGATTAACTTTCACAAGATTGCTTTTTGACTAAGAACCTTAGGATTTAACTTATTTTAATTTGGAAGTTTTTACTTCTTAATCTAGATCATAGGCTATGCCCAAATTTGTCCACCTACAACATTATGATGTGTCAAGGAAAGTGCAATAAACTCCATTTTTTCCCACACATAAAGTTCTGAAAATTCATTTCTGATTTTTTAAAATCCACAACAGTTTCATGGCACGTGTATAAATACAACAAGCTAATAATAATGGCAACAGAGGTGTTAAATGCACAGAGATGCACCTTGCACAGAGATGGAAATACACTTTCTCCTGGAGGTTCCTGGGCTGTTTCACTGGCTGGGGGAGAGTCCCTTCGCCCATCACAGCAGGGCTGATTCTCTACCACGCCAGCCACAGGGTCAGTTTTGCACTGAGTTCACAGAACATAGAATCAAGTTCACAGAGTACAGAATCAAACAGCAGAAACCAAAGTGGGCATGTGGGCTGTACACAAGAACACCGTAAACTGGCAGGGTGTAGGGGTAAAGAGTGATACAGCCAATTAGCTCTAGGTGGGCTTTAAATAGGACTACTGTTACTCCTACAGGTATTTAATTTCTACTCTGATAAAAAGTGAAATTATCTTTAATGGATTTAGGTCAACAGAATTTCAGATTTCTGTTTTGTTCAAATTAACAGCATATCGACCCTAACAACATCCTACTGCAGTGGGCTGGGACTTTATTTAGTAAAAAACCCCTCCATTTCCTGGATTAGCAACTCCATAACCATAGCACGCTCACTTTCCCCTTGGAGGGCACATATATAGAAACTGTTGAGACCTGACCCTCCTGACCTGTAAGATCTGTTAAGGTAGAAGCCCAAAGCAGCATAGATACAAATATCTATGTATATACAGTTTCACACCAACATCTTGAAAACAACCATGTTATTTCAGTATGATTTCTGGCATATTATGTATTAGGCAGTTACTTTGCCCTCAAGATTTTAGAGTTAAAGAATTGGACTGATTTTTAGACAATCTCAGAACTCTGATCTGTGAAGACAATTTTTCATTATGACAATGCATTTCTCCCTCTCTGTCCTAAAAGAAGCATTTAAATACAGGAAAAAGAGTTCCACAGTTTCTAAACTTTTGAAAATATCTAAAGCATGTAACTCTATGTTCTCTCCTTGCACAGAGCTTCCTTAGCCCCTTAGGTGTAAGAGCCCTACATCTTTATCTGCTTTCCTATTTAACAACTTTTAAGTATTTCTGGCCCATGGAAATACTCTATATTTTGAATAAGAAAGCTATAATAAGATGAAAAGTAAAATTTAAAAAAATTAGTAATACAGATCCTGAAGCACTGGTTAGGACAGGTATTTTGGTTTTCTTTTGTCTGCAGAAAAGATACTAAACGGTTAATTTGTATGCTGTAAATAAATGTGGGGGAGGAGGGAAAGGGAAGAAAAAAGAGGGAAAAAAAAAAAAAACACCAGAAGTTGGACACATTTTAAGATTGCATGAAAAAAAGTTCCTTTTAGCTCTAAAGTACATAAAAGTATATGTTGCAAGTACAAAAAACCACTCAGGCACAGTGAAGACAAGCTTAGAATGTGCAGTGGGGTTGCGTGGAAGCTAGCAGCAGGTATTGTATGTTCTCTTCCTAAATCTGACATAACTAATTAACAAAACCTTCAGCAAAATATAGATGGTTTTATAACTAGCTTGCTGGAGGTTTATACAGAAAAGGACTCAGATGATCATTAATGATTCCTACTGACTCTTGGTAGGACCATCTACAATTGTACAAAACGAGAATCTGGACCCAGAAATGTAAAGTGCTGACAGATTAGAGAAGAGATTCAGAGCAGCCCTGCAGAGAAGGACTTGGGGGTGTTGGTCAATAAGAAAATGAACATGAGCCGGCAGTGTGCTCTTGCAGCCCAGAAAGCCAACCGTATCCTGGGCTGCATCAAAAGGAGCGTGACCAGCAGGTCGAAGGAGGTGATCCTACCCCTTGACTCTGCTCTCGTGAGACCTCACTTGGAGTATTGTGTGCGGTTCTGGTGTCCTCAACATAAAAAGGACATGGAACTGCTGGAACAAGTCCAGAGGAGGGCCACGACAATGATCAGGGGACTGGAGCACCTCTCATATGAAGATCGGCTGAGAAAGTTGGGGCTGTTCATCCTGGAGAAGAGAAGGCTGCGTGGAGACCTCATAGCAGCCTTCCAGTATCTGAAGGGGGCCTATAAGGATGTGGGGAGGGACTCTTCATTAGGGACTGTAGTGATAGGACAAGGGATAGTGGGTTAAAACTTGAACAGGGGAAGTTTAGATTGGATATAAGGAGGAAATTCTTTATTGTTAGGGTGGTGAGGCACTGGAATGGGTTGCCCAGGGAGGCTGTGAATGCTCCATCCCTGGCAGTGTTCAAGGCCAGGTTGGATGAGGCCTTGGGCGACATGGTTTAGTGTGAGGCATCCCTGACCATGGCAGGGGGGTTGGAACTTGATCTTAAGGTCCTTTCCAACCCTAACTATTCTATGATTCTATGATTCTATGATTATTAAGATATTCCACATTTATACTACCCTAAGTGAACAAGCCCCAAATTTAAACTCCCTAATAACTGTGTTTAACATGGTAGGCAGCTGAAAACTTCTCTCACCAATGCTCCTGTTTCAAATACCGGATGGAGCAACAGGACAGTGACCCAAACTCCGAGCCTTTGGACAATGAATACACTTGATCTCACCTGCAGCTGAACTCTACATGACTGAAGAACACATTAGATGATAGAAATTGCAATACCTTAGGAACTGGGTGAGCTGGAGAAACCGTAGCCGGCCGAACTATGCTATAAGCAGTATTTCTTTGTCCCTGAAAGATGCAGCGCCTTTGCTGTTGATTGCTTGACTGTCTGTGCAGGTAGATATGATTGCACAAAGAAAAGAATACGTGGCAGCCAGTCACAGAACCTGTTAACAGATTAGTTTAAAATGGTTAACATAGTTTTCTACTACACCTTACAAACTGCAAAGGGCAAAAAGAAGGACATTGTGTAAAATAAAACACAGAACTCACGCAGTGGCCCAGGGTAGTTCAAAATGGTCAAGTCTTTTACTGTTAAAGACAGAGCATTAACATCAAGAAGCAATAAGAACAAAAAAAACTCCCCAAAGAATACTTCGAAGCTTTACAAAATGTCAGTTCTGTTTTGGCTCAATGCATTAAAAAGCAGTGTGGGTAAATTCCCCCCAAGCTTGCAGCCAGGAGTGATGCTCCAACTGGCCCCTGCAAGGCTAGAAGCTGTCCTGTTCAAGGTTTCGTGAAATGGTAAATAAGGGACAATAGCAAGAAAAGAGAAGGGGGGGGGGAAGATTTAATATTGATTTCAGACAGTATTTTCAGCTGTATGTTTTTCAGAATTGGTCATGGATTTGAGCATGACCAAGTTAATGTTGCCCTTGTCATTTGTGCCAAGACACAAGGAATGGGGTTCAATTTGTCCTGCCTAGGAAGGCAACAGAAAAAACTTTTTATTAAAAATAAAAAAGTTATTTTTAATTTTGGCCAAAGGCAATTGAATAGATTAAAATTTGTAAATTGAACGAGATTTCCATTTAATTCACATGGGAATTCGGGATGACAGTTCAGCAGAGTGTTCATTGCTCAAATTTAGCTGTTAGGCAACGAAACATTTTGCCCCTCTCAAAAAAAATAAAAAAAACAACCAAAAACCAAACAACAGAGAAAAAAGGAAAAGGGGGAAAAAATGCATTGAGACCCAACGGTTGTCAGAGACATCAAATCCAAAACAATGCATCACAAAAGATGACGCTAGTAGTGAAACTGGGAAACGTGCTAAATTCAAAAGGATTATTGACACTGCCAATTAAAATACAATTGCACGTAGTGCATATTTCCATTACTCAAACATTCTACAATCTAAACAGAGGGGTTTTCTGAAATAAAAGTTTCATGTAATAGTTAATCTGCTTCTGAAAAATGTCATCTGTATCTACAAACACAAGAGCAATCCTTTATGGGATGTGAGCCATATGAATAATTACTCTTCAGTAAAACATGTTTTCTTTTAAGCAGAAGTAACTAAACATTTTTTTGGACAGAAATTAAGAAATTAATTTACTACATATTTTGTACTATGTAAGAATGATTTTTTTCTTTTTTAGAAGAAGTTTCTTCCATATCTTGTATGTTTTTATTTTGTTGTACCTTCCTTCCTATCTTTTGGATGCATTTATCATGTCCAGATACAGAAAACACCCTTCCACATGCACTTTACAGCATTCCGTATTATACAGGAGATTCAAGTTATACACCTTTTTTTGGAGCCCCGAAACACAAAATGAATGAAATAACAGTTGCATGAAGATTGCTTTAGAAGTGTTCCCCACTGTCTCTTTGCACACTGGTTCATGCCACGTTTAGTTACCAGTACCTGAAAGGCTGTAAATCCTTTTACTCAATACAAGGAAATTTTTACAGGTTTGGTTTTGGGTTTGTTTTTTTTTATTTTAATTGTTGATAAGTAACAAGGCAGAGTTGGAGAGGGAGGCGCAGATCAAACTCTCAGTGTAACCTGGGTACCCCGATGGAAGTTGCCTGCTTCAAAAGGGAAGAGAATGTCTCCATGGAAGTAGAACTGCTCGGTTAACAGAGGGCTGGATTGGTTTGGTGGTGTTTTAAATATAGTTTAATCATAACCTCACCTACTGCTTTCCCTAGTGTCTCCTTCACAGGAAGCAAAATCATTGTCCAATTAAATAAAAAAAAAAAAAGAAAAAAGAAAAAAGAAAGTGGGCTATCTAACCTGCACATCATATAAGCGCACCCAAAGAGCCCAAAGCATCATATGAACTCCCTGGCTGGTCTACACCCATTTCTGGAAGCTGGAAGCACAGAATCTGCTTAGGGAGCAACTTTTAGGCCCTCAGAAGTAGCAATCAGTCTGCTAGCCTAAGCTAAGGTAGGTCTTTTAGAGAGTGAAGTGGAAATACCTTGCTCTTACCACAGCAGATGGTATTATATTGAAAACCCGCGCTCACTGATGCAGTCAGCTGAAGTCCATGCAGACATGAATATGGGAACGCGAATGCTCTCCTTGACACATAGCATGTTGCCTGGGCACCTTGTTTATAAGTTTAATTGGGGAAGAAAAGGTGCAGGCATGATTGTCAACTGTTCAACAGTAAAGCTCCATATATCCAAATACATGTTCTTAAGTACACTGAACCACTTTATATTCATGGGTGTGTGCCTATCGGCTGTCCCACATTTGGAAGGCATAGCTTTTTATTTGGAATTAAATTTTTGCCTCTGTTCTCCCATAGAGACACTGTAAGTGTTGTCACAAGATAACAGGATAATAAGACACTGTAGTCTGCTGTTATTCTAACTACTCATTATAAACCAGACGAATACAAGAATATCTACTACTTGAACAGGTGAAATGAGACAATAAAATAAATATCACTGTAGTATAACATGACTCCTAAAATACATCACAAGAATTATAAACACAGGACAACTAAACCTTTATTTGAAATATAAAAAATTATAGCAGAAAACATTTTCCTTCAAAGTAAAAATAAAAGGAAATAAAGTGGCATTAAAATATAATGAAGTTATTGTTTTATAATGAAAATCTGGACTCCATCCACAGACTTCCTTCCTTAAGAAGGCCTTCCTAATGCCTCCACAGCTCCTTTTATTTTTTAAGCCCCCATATTCACAGCTAATTCGATATAGCAACATCATCAATCATTGGAGACAGGAACAACTGGCTGTATTCTCTAAGTCTGGCTCAGATATTCCCTCCTCCCCATCCCTTACACCTATCAAAGCTTTTCTCAGTGCCTTATTTACTTTTGTAACTCTAGCACTCAAGCACATCCTTTTTGCTAAGCTTTCTGTGTATATTACTTACTGTAAGATAGTTCACACACACAGGATTTACACAGCTTCCAGTGGAAACTGCAGTCATTGAAGAGAACCCGGCGTTTGAAGCCAGGTAGCCTGGTAACACATGACCAAAGCCAGGCTGCAAAGTTGACCCTTTTACACATTTTTCCTCTCTCCCAACAGAAAGACTATGTCACCTGCCACAAGTAAGAGAGTATTTACTAGCAGCTGCAATAAGAAGAATCATTACCAGCATTACTGAATCACATCAGCAGATAGGATGTACCGAGCACAGAAAATTACAGACAACTTCTCCTCTGACTTGACAGTGAATCACACTGTGCAATCTATATGCATGCATGTCCTGCTGGAGCCGCTGGATTCCTCAGCATTCCTTACAGACCTTAATTTGTATTAATAGTATAAATATGCACTGTGAGCTTTTGTGAATTACCAGATGAATTTATCTTCTGAGGAAATGACATTTTCTTTTTCTCTTAAACGAGTCAGCCAAAGGGGCTGAATACAGAATTCAAGTATGATTATGGGTGGGAACATTTTTAAGTGACTGATTTTGTAGCACAATGTGCCCTATATTTATTAGCCTTTTACTCTAGGTCTATTTTAATTGTTATCTGTTCATGCATGCGATACTATATAATGAAATGCTCCCATTTCACTCACAGAGTGAAGAGTTTTTTATGTGTATCTCTATTAATGACCCTTAATTAAGTTGATTTTAGTCATTTAAATGTGATTTTCCTCTGGTCAAGAAGTATTTTTAACAGGAGATGTTGGAAATGAACTCTCACATAAGCCCTTTTCTAATGCCTCTTATTTAACATTTGCAGCAATTTATCAGCTGTGTTTTCAATGAATGAGGTGTGGGGTAGCCATGCAAAAAACTGCTCATCTACATGATTCATTAAACGTGATTGTTAAAACCCATTTTTTTTGAGTATTTATTTATGAAAGAGTTCAAATTTCCAAGCAATTAACAAAAATGTTAGCAAAGGATAAACTTCAGGACAGTTCTAAGCTACAATAAATACAAGGGTACATCTTAACAGAGGCAAGAAATAAAATTGACATTTTTAAAAATGATTTAGTCATAGTACTGACAGAAGCAGAGTACCAAAGTTATTTAGGATTACAAGAATTAACATCTAGCCCATTTAGGAAATAAAATCAACTTGCTCTTGGTAAAGTAAATCTTAGTGTATATGAACAATTAACAACATCAAAACCATTGTTCTGATAACTACTTTCAAAAGACGTGAATTTTTTTTTTTTACTGAAAAAAGAATGACTGTGGAGATTTTCTTAGGATACATGCATTTGACAGTAAAACACTAGGGATTTTAATTTGCCTTGTCAGGTCTTTTCAATATTATAATTTTACTTCTTATGCAAATATTATTTTTGCTGAAACTTCAGAGGACTAAAGTTTAAAGTGAGTTATTAAAAATCACTATGGGTATGTGGAATCCAACCAATGCAACTAGGTAAGAATATATAGCTTTTTACTGTTAATTACCAAATGTTCCAATCCAAAATAATGGTTGTGGTTTGAAAGATCATTTACTTGTAATTCTAACTGTCTTTTAAAACACTGACTTTGTAATCCCCGTGTTGCAATGGTACGTCCAAGCTTCAGAAATTGGATGGGAAAGATTAAAGGTTCTCTCCAACTCTGTGTAACCTGTGCAGCAAAAGAGCAGCTCACATTTCACAAGCAATAACCTGTGCATTTGCTTAAAAAAAAAAAAGGAAAAAAAAGGAAAAAAAAAGGGGGGGATAAAAAAAAAAGAACAACACAGGGAAATGCCTGAGGCAGAAGCTGAAACTGATTGGGCAAAGTAGAAGGACAAGAGCCCTTGAAATTAAACAAAAGCAAATTCATTCTGTTGACAGATGTTGATTACATCAAAGCCAAGAAAGAACTTTTTTTCCTTTTCTCTTTTTTTTTTTTTTTTCATTTTTGCAGCTAATACCTACCTCTGTGCTTTCTGTACATTATGGATGTAACATCCAGCACAGCCCAACACAAAATAATTTTTAAATTTGGTAAAAGTATATTGTAACGAGGTCTTGACGACAGGCTGCTCCAAACAAGAGTGTATTCACATGGTCATGTCTGCATACCCGTGCTGGTCATGCCATCATCAGCCCCTTACTTCCAGGGGTTAACTGCTCTGGCAGCCAAATAAAATACAGAGAGCGCTGTGTAATTATGGAGACAGTCAAAGGGCAGACTCTATTTTGAAATCTATTTGCACAGACAAGGTCTTCCAATTTCGCTTACAGGAAACAAGCTGGTAAAGGGGGTCTCCTCCTCTCCAGATGCTTTCCACACGTTTTTCCCACATCAGGAAATTGTGGACATGGACACCATGCAGCACTGTTTCCTGGATTGCAGGACTGTGTCATTACAAGGATAAGAGCAAGTCCATGCTCGTGAGAAATATTTCCTCCTAATTGCCCATATTAGGGGAAAACAAAACCCACAAGGACTACTGAAAAAGGGACTAGCAGCAATTTGTAAACAGGACACTGCCACAGCTGTCACGATGGTATCAGAGAAGAGAAAACAGAAATGAAAGGGTAAAACCACTCTGGTTTTAATAACATGATTGGGGAAATGAAATATTCATCAGGATAGATATGACTTCAATTACAACAGCAACACATTGGTAAAAACCTCAACAACAGCATGCTTATGACTGTACAAACTGAAACATGGGCCAGTAGCTCACAAACATTATATTCTAATTTGGCATTGGTTTATTTAATAATTGAAATTAACTGGAAACTAACGACTGAAGTTGTTTAGTTAATAAAGGTATTAACAGAATTGCTGTTCTCATTACCCTCGTAAGAGGCAATAACGCAAAGCAATGGCCGAACACCCACTGATTCCAAGGGAGCAGAAGCAGCCCCTCTACCAACACCACTGGACTCTTCCATGACACGGAAAAAGTTAAGTTTGGCCCTGAGGACCAGTTATGCCCCTGTTAATTACAGTTTTGACCTTATTTCACGGACAGCGGAACCGGACAATTTGTATTTGCTGCACACCAATACAAATGAGTTTTTTAATTGGCTGCAAATTTATAAACTATATGGAAGTACATTCTTGTTTGGCTTTACTTATTTTTAGTCTAGACCAGCACACTAAAATGATGAATCAGTGCCTTCTGGAATAGTGCCGGTCTTCTAATTCATTATTCACTCAAACTTAGGGCAAACAAAATAGCTGTTCTACAAGTTGGTAAACTGGGAAACCACAGAGAATCAGAACCTCTTCTATTTACAGGAAGGATGACAGCCTAAGGGTACTTCATCTCAATAATAACAACATTCAAGTAACGGTGCCCAGGTCATGACAAGCCATGACCCTCCCCACAGCTCCTTCAGGAAGCTGGCTCAGTGCCACCTTTTATCAGCAGCAACCAAGAGTGCAACTTTAACAAACAAGAAAACAAAGGAGAAATTAATTTTAAATGCTTAAAAACCCCTTCAACCAGTTAAGCAGTTGTGTATGTATATATATATATATATACACACACACAGAGTCACACCAAGGCAATCTAAGAAATTGACTGAGTAAAATTCTGATCTCATTAAACAGCACTTTCCCATTTTATGGTATGATTTAAAAAAATACTATATCTGAATTGTATTCATTCATATACCAAAGGAAATTAATTGTCAGTTACAGAAGTGGGACTGGATTGTACAGGCTTAACTTTGGGAACAGTTGAGCCTTCCATCCTAGTGTTATTTCTACTACATTTTCTTTCTCCAATAGAAAATAAAGTGTTGCCTACAGCAGTATCACAGCAAAATGAAACAAGTCAGGTACAAAAGCTGGGCAAAGCAATATTAAGAGTTTCACACACAGTTAATATCAGGGGAATTTAGGCTCCAGATCATGGCATCTGGCAAGTTTCAAGTTCTGTGACTAGCAGGAGAAACATTCCTCTTACGTTACTGCATTCCTATATTGAGTAAATTAATTTATCATAAAGAGAATAAATTGGAATGAGAAACATATCTGCTCAAGTTTACATATTTAAATACATCTTTCATTCATTATCTATCTACCTTCAGGTTTTTAAAAAGATTGGAGAAACTACTTTCACTTGAAAGACTGGTTACTTTCTTAAATTTTGGTTTTGTAGGGAAGTAAGAACTGTTGGAACAAGTTAGTTTTAAAAATAGCAGTTGTTTCGGATTAAAATAATAAGCTATTCAAGTAGTTCTTACACACATACACACAATACTGAGTCTTGTTGTTTACATCCACCCACCCACAGCTCTAACATTCATTGAATCCTACTGGGATAAAATCTTTTCAGGTGTGCTGTGAAACAACTGTTTTTCAACTGGCATGTTTATGTCCTACATACACGCCTGATACCACATTACACGTTAAAAATAAATACTACTTTAAACTCCTGAATTTCTACCTGAAATGGAAAAAACATGTCTGAATCACCACAAAAAAACGTTTCCCTCAGACACCCTTTCAAAGCTGCTAAAATAAGAGTAATTTTTCCTCAGAAAATTTAGGAGTGCTCCTGAACATTGTACCAGGATTTTCTGCATAGCTTGAGACACAGGAAGATAACAGGCAGGCAGGAGTCTTTTCCCAGCACAGAACATAAGACCAATTGCAATAATTATTTTCAACATACCTGCAGCTGAATCTGTAAGGATACAAGATGATTTCTGAATGGTAAGCCAGTCTTCCCTTAAAAATAATAACAATAATAAAAAAGTGTATGCTGCTCACAATTTTGTGATGAATACCTTAATAAATTAAGATTACATTACTATTCATCTGGTAAAAATTACAGCTGATGGTGCTTCTTGCCTTGTATTAAATGTTAATTGCTTGAATTGTCTTGTTTTCACATGAAAACACAAGTTACATTAGGACAGTGAGTCTTTACTGAGAAAACATATACGTATCCTTCGCTAGAGTGAAGAGTGTAACACTGGGGAATTCATCCTATAACCTGGACTTCAAAATACATGAGCAGAGAGGTGTAAGAGTTTACAGCTGTTTCTACTAAACTACGGTGGTGGTGGTGGTGGTGGTGGAAATAAGCTCTTTCTCCCCTCTGCCCCCCCAAGATGCTGTGCACAAGGAAGATGTTCCAATCAAGAGCTTGCTGCAGATAACTTGTAGCATCATGATTAAAACGTTTATTTTTAAACCTGTCAGTCATTAGTATGTGCTATTAATGTGTAACTTGGAAGCTTATTCATAAATACATGGCATTTGGGTCACTGAATAAATTATAATGATAGGAGTATGGATTGAATTTGGAAGAGTATGGTATAATGTTTAGGAGCTCGTTTTCTTTTTTTTCACTTATCTCCTTGTGTAACATTTACAAAGACCTCTTTCTTATCACAGAACTCCCTGTTTATCAAACAGTGATACAGGAAGAAGTTGTTTACATTTTCAGAAATACCAACATACATCACTTATGACAAAAAAACCCAAGCACTCCATAAGAAATGCTCAATCACTGTCAATCATATGGACTAAAATATACATAAACCAAAGCATGTGGTGTGAACTATATTAGATTCAAACTGAACACAGAATTACAACTATAACAAGCAAAACCAAATAATTACAAGTGACTCATAGGCCTATTTACACATCTCACCAAACTGCTGGAAAGGTAGGTAACCATAGAAACCTGACAGCCTAAATTCAGTACTTTAAAATTTGTATTTAGTTTAAAATGCTGAAAATTATGTTTCTATTTAACAAAATCAATATTTTCAAAGGTTTCATTTTTGCTCTGGTACTTAAATAAACGCTTAAAATGATTTAATCTCTCTGTTACTAATAATTTGCCTTTTAAATTTAATTTCATCCAAGTAAAGATTACAATTTATACTTTGTAATATAAATTGTTAATACTTTTTAATACTGCAAATTAATATTTCTAACATTCCTTTAACAACTGAAATTAAATAATGATATAAACCAAACACTCCTGCACTTACAATTAAGCGCTTTGCACATAGACTTCTCAAAGCTGCACACTAGCAAAAAAAGATTACTCGTATTAACTGTTAAAGCTGAAATGTTAATAGCCTTTTCAACTTACAGCTCTTTTTCACTGACAATTACAATTTGCATGGTTTAAAATTTAATACTATGATTAGTACTAATGTCCTGTATTTTACTTCATAATCTAAATGAGTAAAATATTATTCTTGTAGTTCACTGGCTCTTAGGCTGTAATGTTCAGTGTGTATTTCATTATGCAGATGAGCAATGGATGTTGTCTAACATGATTTAAATGGGTCAACAGTATTTTCCTATTCACATTAATCATACAGACAGCCACAAAAAACCTGACAAAACCAAGCTTTGAAAACTAACCTAGGAAATCTTTTTATCATTGACTCTACCCACTGGTTAAATAACAGCAAACACATGCTACAGGAGATGAGACCCTTGCAAACTGTGGAACCGAGGCTGGGTGCTGCTCCTCTTGCTGGTGCTGGCAGTGGGCAGCGCTCCCTGGGCTGCCTGCGGCCCTATGCCAAGACTGATTCTTGTCCCACAAAGTTCAATGGGAGCTGTGTGTTGACAAACTGAGCAAATCTGAATCGGCAAAATTCGTTCTTGGCACGGGGACATGCAACAGTGCTGAATGCAAAGGCATGTTGCCCGCTGACGCGATGCTGGCAGACGGGCTGCTCTTGCGTAACTACGCTTGTTGGAAAACTCCCACTAAAGTCAAAGGACACAGGATCAGATCATTTATTGCCAGCTGTTTATAAACCACATCAAAATGAAGGGCTCTACTCTCAAGCCATGTAGCCATCATTTATGGCCCATTTCATACATGTTATAATGCAAATAAAAAGGCAATTTATAAGTAACATAGCACTTCTGAGGAAAAGGAAGCTGTTCTAATAAATGCTAAAAGGAAAGAACATAAGTATAAACGCACAGAAAGCAACAGGATGATCAAGTACCAAACATTCAGATCAAGATTGTCTGAAACACAAGAGTTCTGCCACGGTACAAAATTGCTACAAAGGCAGAGATTGCGTGTTTAATTATAATACAGTGTAACAGGGCTGGAAAAAGCTTGCCTGGGGAACCCCGCACCATGGTTCATACCACTGGGCTAATCCTGCTGGACAATGCAAGAGAAGTCCAAACTTCTTGGGGACAGGATGTATGGGCTGTGAGGCAACGGGTAGGTGGGTAATGGGACTCCTTACCTCCTCCTTTATCAGGGCTAGACAGCCAGCAATGGATGGTTAAGCTTCACCAGTGTCTGCTCTTCACATCCATCTTTATATAGGCACACTGATATCAGCACAGCCAGTGATATTTTACTGGAGGCAGTAACTGTGCAGTGCACAGAGCTAAGGCATCAGTGGGCACTGACATGATGGCTGATTTACAGTAAATTGAACAATAACTACCGCTGTGATAATTAAGGTAAAGTCTTTGCCATGACCTTTTCTAGGTTTTGGGAACATGGAAGAGAGGTCAGCATAT